GGCGTGGCAAAAAAAAAAAAAAAAAAAGAAAAGAAAATTTTAGGAGCATTCAGTTATATCAGCTGAGAAAGACTAATTCATACCCAAATTAATGTATTGTCTAAAAGAAAATTAGTTTTAGTTGGGAAACTGATTTTTTTAACTTATCTGAGATTCTACCTCCAATTGACCTTTATGTTTTCAGAGATGTTCTGAGTAACAACAACAAATCCCAGAGGGGTCTGAGGTCAAAGTAAAATAACTCATTCATTAACGGTCCAATATATGCCAGATGCTTTCTTCTTTTTTTTTGGAGAGGTTTTTGTTATAGGGCGCGTGCGCTTGCCAGACAGAGAGAGACAGAGAGACAGAAAGTGAGAAATCACTCCCTAGCAGGAAATCACCCCCCAGCAGGGATGGCCATGCCGCAATCCCTTCTCCTCCATTCTCCTCTTGGTATCTTGGGCGTGCACGCACACGCGCCTGGCGTGAATTTAAGCTACCGGGTCCGGGACGCAAACCACGGTCGACTGCGCGGGAGTCCAGTGACATAGCCATTACGCTAACTGCTGGTCCCCCAGGTGCTTTCTTTACCTATATTGCATACCTTCCAGCAGTCCTCCATGACAGGACTTATCAAACCCATTTTGCAGATGAAGAATCTAAGGCTCAGAGTGCTGGTAATTTCAAGATCATGACTAGTGAGTGACAGCTGGACTAGACCCTTGGTCTGATTTAATCTAGAATCCATGTTCTCACTCTTCCCAGCTGGAGTCAGGTATTCTATTACTTAATTTGTTTTACATCTCTCTACTCTATAATGCCTCTCAGGTGAAAAAAACAAAAAAACAAAAAAACAAACAAAACAAAAAAACCAAACCCTGCAACAAGGTGCAGAAAGAAGGGGGAAATGAAAATAAAACAGTGTGGGAATTATCTGAGCTTTAGTTACCATAAGTCCTCTTGCCTCAAGCTCCAGAATATTTTAATGGCCAATACTGTCTAGCTGCTAGCATTTGTCCCATCTCAGCATTTTTTTCCATATAACAGCATCCTTCCTCTGGTGTTCTGCAGTATGCTCCTATCCAGCTTTAGGTACCCTGACCAACTTGCCATCATGGCGGCTTCCTCCTTTGAATGCTGTGCCCTGCTCCCAGTGGAGTATCCCACCTGACACCTGCCCACCCTTTGATATAGAGCATTCCTACTCCCTGTAGAAATCTCCTGATTGTCTTATGCCTCATTCCAGAATCCCTTGTTTTGGTTTGAATGATGGTGTCCCCACCAAAATCCATATTGAAACATGGTCCCCTATGCAAGAGTATTGAGATGTGGCCTCTAGGAGGTGATTATTTCATGAGTACTCTGACCTCACAAATGAGATAAGCACTCTAATAAAAGGGCTTGAGGTTGAAGGGAGCATTTTCCATAGAATTATGCATTATAAAAATACATTGTGTTTCTATTAACATACTTGGTAATGAAGCACATACTGGTCTTTAAGTTATCTTTGCCACTTAGTAATGTTAATGCAAGATCTTTTTATGATGGTATATATAGATCTACCTCACTTTTGTAATTGCTCCCTAGAATTAAAAAGTATGTATGTGCAGTAATTAATAAAACACATCTACTGATGACCATATAAGTTGTTTCATATTTGTTACTATGATTAATAGAACTAAAATAAACTTTGAATAAGATCTCTTGGGAAAATATTTTGTATAAGAAAGACATATAAACAGATGGCTCAAAGTGCAAAGGGTATGAATATTTAATATTTTTATAAATAATTGCTAAATTTTTTTTCCAAAAATACTGTACCAATACATCTTTGTTTGTCTTTTTAGGTTTTTGTCATAATGCATGCATTCACTGGAAATGAGAGAAACAGAGATATTCAGAGAGAAGGAAAGTGAGGAATCACAATCCCCTCTTCTCCTTCTCCTCTTGAGATTTTGGTCATGTGCACACACACATGCCCGGCATGATTTTCAATCCACCAAGTCTGATACTCAAACCATGGTCAACCATGTAAGGATCCAGGACCTTAATCACCACTTCCTGACCCTACCAATACATGTTTCCACAAATTACTGTATATGAATATCCTTCACTCTCATAAACTATTAGGTCAACAGGAAAGTCATGGCATATTTTTCTATGCAAAAATGTGCCATGACTTTCCTGATGATCCAATATTTATTTTATCAATCCTTTACATTTTAGTCAAAATTAAGGGTGAAAGTACTATGTCTTTTGTGGTTTTTTTTCCATTTTATCACTAGGTTAAGCAGAAAATTAACTTAATCCCTCATTCATATAAAACTGCACATATGCAATGCTGCCTCAACGTTATTCTTGGCAAAACGTAAAATTCTGAAATGTCAACACAACATTGCCTTTTTTGTTCCTAGAAGCAAGGATTTTGGTTAGAATGTTCAGGAGCTAGGAAACAATTATACAGGATACTCTCAGTGAGGGGCATTGGAAGGATCCAGGGAAATGCATTTGCCAGAGATCATGAACGAGATCATATGCAAAACCAATTCAGAGAACCCAAGGCTAGCAGCTGGCAGACAGTCCCTGAATCAAATTCAGTGTAGGTGGAGAAGGGTCCAGAAGGACAGAAGGTGGGGAATATGTGTGAGGAGGATGGTAGTATGGGACAGCATACGTCAGTAGGGTTGGGGAATATCTGGGTCATTGTTATCAGCTGAAAGTTTGAGTGTTGTCTGAGTAGGCAGGTCTACTGAAGGAGTAAGCTAGCACCATGGCAGACACCACACTCTGCCTTGAAGTCTATCCCTATACCCTGTCAGGATGAGCACAACTGGCTCCCCTGCATCACGCGGAATAAGCTACATATCTTGACTACTCCAGTAGTCCAGCACTTGTCTAAGGCTTAGAGCTATCTTGTGGCCTGCCAGATTCTAGTATGTTTTCCTGTGGTAGTGGACCTCTTTCATAGAGGCTGGGTCTCCTTTCCAATGATCAATAGGGAAGCTGCAGCTAAAAGGTGTAGATATTGGAGTGGAAATGCCCTGGAAGTAGTGACCTCAGTGACCACATAAAGGGCTGGAGTACACATATCTTCTTCTTCTTCTTCTTTTTTTTTTTTTTTGGAGAGGTTTTTGCTATAGGGTGCGTGCGCTCACCAGAAAGAGAGAGAGAGATAGAAAGCGAGAAATCACCCCCCAAAGGGGATGGCCATGCCACAATCCCTTCTCCTCCAGTCTCCTCTCGGGATCTTGGGCATGCACACACACACACACCTGGCGTGAGTTTAAGCCACCGGGTCTGGGACTCCAACCGCAGTCAACTACATGGGAGGGAATGTCCACTTCAGAATCCCTTCTCCTCCATTCTCCTCTCAGGATTTTGGGCATGCACATGCTCCGAGTGTATTTTCCAAGCTCCTGGACTCACGTTGCATAGTCGGCCATGTGGGATCCAGCTGTCCCCAAAATCACACCACTGGCTGGCCACCCCAATAATTTTTTAAGTTATCTTTTATAAATATAAAATATCTTTTATATTTACTCTCATTTTAACACTTCTATTGCTCTTCCTTTTTTATGTAGATCTACATTTCCATCTATTATACTCCATCTGAATGAAGAACTTTTCTAACATTTCCTATAGTGAAGGCCTCCTGGGAAAATATTTTCACAGCTTTTTTTATTTCCT